CCAGAAAGCTCTGTGGTGTTGGCAAGTGTCCCCCAACCCCGGATGGCCATAAATGGTCCCTGCTCACTGACCAGACCATCCCCCCAGCAAAGACCTAGGACCACAAATGGAGTCACGGGATCCAACCTTTATCTTCCCATCATGCACTGCATTTAGGGCACATCCGTGTCTATCCAAGACTAGAAGCCTTCTCCTTTTTGGTGATAGGAGACATCACCTACTGCCATTGCCCAGTGAAGGACATCTCGGTCACTTTCAGTTTGGGGCGAGCGATTATGGATAAACATGCTCTCAATGTTTCCTTGTGGGTTTGGGGATGGACGTAAGCTTTCAGACTCACAGGGTACATGCCTTGAACGGCAATTGCTGGGCCATCTTTGGCTTTTAAAGTCTTCCTGCTGGAGGCTACCTCAAGCCTGTGGGGAATGGAACTAGGAGAAGCCTCTGGCTACAGCAGCCTCTTTTCTTTCTAAACTCTCAAATGTGGGTCTTGGGAAGCTAGAGTTTGCCCCCTACACACACCAGGGCTCCAGCAGCAGAGGGAAAGGTAAGGTCCGAAGGCCCCTCAGCCCAGCCTGAGGCTTCCTGCCTTCCTCCATCTTTGGAGTTTGATTCTGAGCAGAGCCAGCCTCAGGCTCCAGGTACTGCCTGTACAGGTCCCTTCCTCCAAGGCAGGCCTGGGACTGCTCTTGTCCAGAGCATTGGCCTGGGAACAGAGGCCTGCCTGCCTGACCCAGAGGAGTGACCTTCTCCTCCCACCCCCGGATGCACTTCTAGCCTGAGCAATGAACCAACCATCTTCGTGAGGTCATTACCCTGCTCTCCGGTTTGGACTCAGGCTGTGTGACTCGCCTTAGCCTCCAGGACAGATGTCCATTAGAGTTCTCCACTGTCCCCAAACAAGCTGGGCCACCAGTCAGCAGCTGCAGGAATCCAGAACGAACTAGCCAAGGAACTACTGAGTTTCTTCTCCACAATTCCAGCCAGAAGCCAGAGCTCCTCCCTCTTCTTCTAGTACCTGGGACCAGTCAGAGCTGGCTTCTCACAGTGCTGGCCTCACCGGGCTCAGCATCAGTTCCACTCCTAGGAGAGGGGTGACAGCTCCAGGAGGAAGGGATCATAGAGTCTCAGGGATTTAGGCTTACGATGCCTTCCTGCCCTAGAGGGACAGCACCCTTCAGGACAGGACCTAGGCCTGAGAAATGTTGTCTTATGGATGATGAGTAGACAGGTAAATGCTTGAAGGAAGGATGGTCAGGTGGATGGATGGAGGATGGATGGGTGGGTGGACAGATAGAAAAGTGGGTAGATGGATGGATGTTGGGTGAATAAACTGATGAGTGGAAGGATGAGTGGGTGAATGGATGGATGAGTGGATGGATAGGTGAAGGGGTGAGTGGGTAGATGGATGAATGGAAGGATGGATGGGTGAGTGGGTGGATGGGTGAGTGGGTGGATGGATGAATGGAAGGATGGATGGATGAATGGATGGGTGGATGGATGGATGAATGGAAGGATGGATGGGTGAGTGGGTGAATGGGTGGATGGGTGAGCGAATGGATAGTGGATGGGTGGGTGGATGAACAGATGGGTGGGTGAATGGATGGATGGATGAATGGATGGATGGATAGATGAATGGATGGATGGATAGATGGGTGAATAAACTGATGAACTGAATGAACTGATGGATGGATGAATGGGTGGGTGGGTGGATGGATGGATGGATGAATGGATGGGTGGGAGGATGGGTGAGTGGGTGGATGGATGAATGGAAGGATGGATGGATGGATGGGTGGATGGATGGATGAATGGAAGGATGGATGGATGGGTGGGTGGATGGATGGATGAATGGAAGGATGGATGGATGGATGGGTGGGTGGATGGATGGATGAATGGATGGGTGGGAGGATGGGTGAGTGGGTGGATGGATGAATGGAAGGATGGATGGGTGGGTGGATGGATGGGTAAGTGGGAGAATGGATGAGTGGAAGGAGGGATGGATGCAGATGAATGGATGAATGGGTGAGTGGGAGGATGGATGGGTGAATGAGTGGGCTGGAAGGAAGAATGCATGAAATGAACAAAGGAGGGAGAGGGTGATGGAGGAACTACTGAGTTCCTTCTCCACAATTCCCGAACCTTCCCCTACTTGGCCTCCTCAGGCTGCTCTGACCTGTCCTTGGCTCTCCAGGACTCACTGTCCACCTTCAAGCATCCCATGGTGCCTCATCTTCCTGATCCCTCTCCCGCTCGGTACAGGCAGTGGTATCCCCTCCTGGGACCTAGGCCACCACCCCAACTTTCTCCAAGATGGATCCCAAGGCAAGTACCCGGGTACAACCCCGCCTCCTCAACCCGTGTACGCACTAGAGCCTCTTACAGCAACAAAAGAGCAAGTAGCATTTGCACACCATCTTCTAGACCAGGACCATTGTCACCAGGACCCCGGGCCTGGGAACACTGTCCTCATGACAGAGGTGGGAAAAGAGGTCTAGGGTGAGCCCCGAGCCAATCGAATACACAATGGGGCTATACACCCAGGCTTGCACAACAGTCCACTCCCCAGGGCCCTGGTGACACTACAGATGCCGCGATCCTGTCCAGGCTCCACTATTGTCACCATGGTGAGCTTCTGTCCCGCGGGACCTGTCGGATCCCAGGGGGTTCTTATGTGTGGGAAAAGGGTACTGTGGACCACAAGGAGCTGAGAGGGACCAGGTCTTGGAGTTAATCAGCCTTGTCCCAGCACCTCCAGCAGAGGGCAGTGCCACCTCACACTTGGAAACTCGCTGCAGTTGGAATGCCAGTCCCAGGGGGGCCAGCACACCCTCCACCTGCCCCTGGTCTCTAGGAGTCCTTCTGATCCACCTCAGCCTAGCCCTCAGGCTCTCTTTCCTCCCCAGTGCTATGTGTGGACTGGCAAGGTAGATTCCAGGTTGCAAACCGTCCAGCATCTCAGTCCTCTCTGGGCCCATGCATCAGACTGTCCATTCCCTCAGTCTGAGCTAGAGGGACCACCAGTCACCACACTTCCCGCCGGAAATGGCCACATAGCACCTGCTCTTTGCTGTGACCCCTTCCTGGCCATGCCCAGACCATGTTAGTACAAGACACTGCTGCTCTCAGGCCTGGGGCAGCCCATTGGTTCTAAGATGCCTCCGTACACACACACATCCTTTTCCACCACTACACTGTTGCTCACTGATGCAATAGCCAGTCCTTTCCTGTCCCTCAACTCCTGGTACCTAGCACAGGGCCAGGTGGAGACCACAGGGCCTCAACCACATCCCATGCAAACGCCATGTGCCCCCAGACCTGAGGCCCTGCCCCCATCCTATCCTCTCAGGTTACGCAGGCCTCTATGCTGCTCAGCCTGTCACCATCTGATTCTGCCGCTGATAAAACTTATCGAGCCCAGCATCTCTGGTCCAGGGAGACTGCCCTGGGCAGGTGTTGCTAAGGCAACCAGAGGCAGCAAGAAGGCCAGAGGGCAACCTGGGGTTGTGCTCAGCCATGAGTGCTGGGCAATACTTGTGTCTCTGGAAGTGGCCAGTCCCCTGCCTCACCCTAGGGAAACCCAAGCTAGGTCTAGCCCCACCCCACCTCAACTTACCTGCCTTGGTCACCTCTCACCCCATCACCTATGGGTCATAAAACACCAGCACTAAGGACCCAGAGAACTTCAAAGTGTTTTCCTGCCATTTTCCAAGTTGTCGGCTGCCCCTCGGTCAAGAGGCCTCCTGCAGGGCTTGCCGGTTCTGAGGATAGACTTCTGTGGAGAGTAGGGGCCCCAGGACAGAGACGGCTTCTGACCAGAAGTGAGGTCAGTACAGGGCACATACAGAAGCCGGAGCAAGCTTCTTTTTTCTAAACCAAGGAACGGACCAATGTGGCCCTTGGACACAAGCCTGAGTAGGGAACCAAAATAGGATGGGACCAGCAAAGGAGCTGCCTAGAGGCAGTGGATGGGCAGCTCAGGGATTCAGGGACCCTCATGTCCCTGTCAAAAGAGTTCTGGGTGTTCCCAGAGGATAATGGCACAGTGGTTCTGGCCAGGGTACGACTCTGGCGGCTGGTAAGGTCCCTCATCTGGGCAGAGAACAAACTGCATCTTTCCAGGTCTCACTAATACCTCGTTTAACCAATCAGAGACCGAGTGGAGGCTTGAGTTTCAGGGTACAGCCGTTCCTCTGTATGCCCAAAGGGGGGATACGTCCATATGAGGATCTTGAGTCCTGATGGGAGGTTGGCTGGGCCTGCCCGTCAGTCCTCTAGGGCCAAGTGAAAAGCATGTAGGGTGTTGCTGCACACAGTTAAGTGTACATGTGTGATCATGTGATCCTGGGCAGGGACATCAAGGAGCCTGGCTCTGCAGACCTCTGGACAGTGGCTAGAGCTGTGTCCAACATCACAGGGCCCTTTGCGTCCACTCCTAGCCCCTATGTGTCTGGTGCTCAGTGCTTCCCAGGAGAGAGCCCAGCTGGATGGAGGGGCGTGTGATGATAGGGCAGCATTGCCAAACCGGGGTCAGCTGCAGCCCAACTCAGACAGCACGGAGACAAAGGGCATTTATCACCTGAGATGGCACAGATGGAGCATCCTTAACCTATTATTAATCGGGCAGTTAGATGACATCATGTACTTGAGGCCTTCCGTGTGAACCTTCTGCCCACTCTGGCCAGGGACTGGGTACAGGTAGCTCAGGGCTGAACAGGTGGTAACAAATGGGCCTTGAGAGTGTTCACAAACTTGGTATCCGCAGATGGGGGCAGGGGGCTGTGCCTCTAGACAAGCCTCGGATCCTGGGACCCCAGGGAGAGCTTCAGGGCAGGGCAGACAAGGGAAGAGAAAGTATGGAAGCCAAAATCTGAGACCCTGCTGGGGGGGTGGGGACACGACTCCACCCAGAGGATGGACACCAAGGGGCCAGGGCTGACCACAGGTCTTCCCCAGCCGGGGACATCTGTGACTCCCAAGACAGGACACCCCCACACAGGACAGACAAGAACTAAGTGGAGATATATTTTGAAACGCTCATATTTTGTTCTTCCTCTCACGTTTTTCTGTTTCTTTTCTACAATCCTGAGACCACTGTTCATCAACCCCCCAGGCGTCTGCACTGTAATGTCCCGAGAGCAGTTACGCAGGGAAGTCATTTCACAGTCAGACAAGGCGCGGTGAGGCCAGTAGGCACCAAGGACAGGGCAAATCACATGGAATGGGAAGAAAACCGTGAAGGTCACGGGCCCACCCTCCCGCCAAAGGACGTGTCCATCTGTGGTGGTCTCATGAATCTTCAGCCTCATTGCAAGGGCCTCCTCTGCCATCTCATCTCGGCGTCTTGACAGGATATCCTGACGCTCTCCCTCAACACTCCAAACAGAAACCAGGTCCCACCGCCATACCATCCAGTTTACATGAGGGATAAAATTACATTTGTACAAAAATAGATTCTTTTACCTTTCCCGGTGCGCTAGACATTTCTCTACCTTTTCTCCCTGTGGACGCAGTATCCTCCCCAACAGTGGCCGTGTGTCCTGGCTAAGGCATGGCTAGAGATCAGGACACGCCGGCTCCAGGCATCTGAAAATAGATGCATCACCTGCCTCCAGATAGTCACCCGAGCCCAACTTTACCACAGGAGGGGGCCTTAGGTACTTGCTTACAAGAAGCAAATTTACAGGAAAATGGGAAAGTCTTGATTAAAAAGAAACACAAAACATTGGTAACTGCGCTGCATCCCCTCCATGTCGCTGGTGCACAAGCCGGCTTCTGCGTTGGTCTCTGTACAGCACATTCATGTTCACACACCTGCGTGGACACGGACCACGCCCCAGTTCTGCAATGGGACATCAGCTGATTATCCACTGGCTGCCTGCTCCAGCCAGGCCTCTTGGGGTCCCAGGGGAAGGGGCTCAGGTGTCCCTTGGTACTGTCACCAGACTGTCAGCCCAGAATCCTTGGGGATGCTGTAACTTGGTGTGGGGCTGAATTCCCCCAGAGACTGTGGTTCCAGGGTGACCACAAACCACTGGGCTCTGTGGTCATCTTTGCTTCTCAGCCACGGGAGCCCCGTCTGAAAGTCCAAGCAAGTAGTAACAGCTGAGGACAGTGGCCCAGAAGCAGCAGTGTGGGACTCACATGGCCTTTGGTGGCAGTTGGTGGTAGCTGTTTTACCCAGCCAAGCCAAGGCCGGGACAGGCGCCGGGTGGCTAATGAGCTGATATTAGTGCTATCTTTAGAAAATTAAAGATTGTCCCACCCAAATAACAACACAATAATTACAAACAAACACCTTAATTGAGCCAGATTTGGTAACATGCCTGAAGGTCTGGTTAAATGAACATCCCAACTCTCTCCCTGGTGTCACTGTGTCCACACCTCCCCCTGTAAATACACAGCACCCAGCACCGTCTACTCAAAGACAGTGACAACAGGATTTAAAGGGACAGGAAGCCCTTGGGAAACCTGGGATAACAAACAGTGGCAGGTAAGGTTGCACAGGCCAGCCGGGTCCTGGGTTCCACCTTCCGGGTGCAGGGGTCAGGAGCCTCTGTTGCTAACAGCCAGCCAGCCAGGCCTGGACGTGGTGGCATCCCCAAGGGGCCCAGTCCAAGGACTGTCTCTGCTGGAGCCACTGATGGTCCGGGGGGGCCCAGAGTGCTGCACAGGATGGGACTGGCATGAGCAATGGGGTATCTGTCTGCAGAAAGCACAGTGCTGCGTGTGGAATGGGGAACCTGTATCCCTGTCTGGTGTCATCATGCCCCAAAGGCTGCGCAGACCTTCTAGAAGAGTTTAGAAGTGACAGCTGGCTGGCCCTGGCAACAGCATGTGCCCTGCCCCCACTCCCCAGCGTGTCTCCCCATAGGGAGGCAGGAAGGTATTTCTTATAGATAGCTCAGGTAGCTGTGGCTGGGGACTTTGGGAAGGCAGAAAATGAATGTGTCCTTCCCCTGCAGAACCCAGGGAACTAGCTCCTCCCAGCTACTGCCTCCAGCCCCAACCTCCTAGACAGGTTATCCCATGAGCCCCCCGGCCCCCTGTATGCACCCGCCACACCAACAGGAGACCAGACACTGGGGCAGGCAGCATGGCCCTTATTCTCATGTCCACCCACCCATCCCCCATCACGCACCTGCTCCTGACAAACCTGGGCCCCTGGGCTAAGATTAGATCATGAAGAGGACTGGGGCCCAGGGAGAACCCTGTGGTGCTAACAAGGCCGTTCAACTGGAGAGGCACAGAGTCTGCGGTGAACCATGTGGGATGGAGCTGAAGCCTGAGTCCACGGCCTGTGCCACCTGAGTAGGTGTAACAGAGTCCCCCCAGGTAAGGCTCTGGACAAACAGCATCTACAGACCACGGTACATACACCAAGTGGAGGAGGTCCCCAGCGAGGCCTGTCAGCATTCCAAGCATAACCGGGTAGCCAGAGAAGGGGCCTATGCCATGGTCCCACACACTGCCTAGCATGTCAGCCACACTCACCCTGCCTGCATAATTCATCCACAAGCCCCTCAGGCCTCCACTAGGGGGAAACCAGACAGCACCCCCGTTCTCCCTGAGCCTCAGGATGTCCAGTGTCCTCACAAGATGCTAGCATGGGACAGCTCACACATTGCCCACAAGACCACTGAGGTGGAAATCCTACTTGAGCCAGGGCAAAGGAGCCAAGGACAAGCTTCAGACCCTCTTGCAGACCATGGAAGGTTTGGTGTAGGGAAACCAGGGCACCACAGTTGATGTCCCCTGGGCTGATAGGGACCCATGGTGAGGGGCAATGATACAAAGAGGACACTGAGGGGTGTGACAGGGAACCCTAGCCCACACAGCCTTGAGTTGGCCCCAGGAACCCTGCACAGTGGCTGGGGCACAGTCTCAAGGTATCTTTGGAAATAGGCTATCCAGGGTAGCTGTGACCCACGGGGACATGGGTCTTTGCAATAAGACAGGACTTGCCCCCTCATCTGTCCCTTCTTGACCCTGGATGGGCTCCCACACTAGCTGGACACCAGGACTCTGAGCAGGCGAAGATGGGCCACTCCAAACAGAGGTGCGACACGGGGATGTCGTAAACCAAACACAGCAAACAGCAACCAGAACAAGCCCCTCTCCCAGCTCCTGCAGCTCTGGGTGCTGAAGACAACCCCCCACCCCCAAGCCACCCCCAAGCCCCTCAGGATGACAACAGGGTGACCCAAGAGCCTAGGGTGGAGAGGCAGGACCTGGCCGGGTCTCACACCAGCTCTGGCCACGGCCCTGGGCCAAAGGTTTGCAGTAACAAAGATGACGATGATGGAGACGCATCTCTTGGGACCACAGGGACACACTGCATCCGAAGGTCCGCACAGGCCAGCATGAAGGGCAGGGACAGGACTGGAGCTGAGCAGAGCAGCTGTGTCGGGCAGGGCACAGGACCGGTGCACGGCGAGCCAGGGCCTAGGTGGCCTGGTGAGGGGCCTCTAGCATCTCCATGAGAAAGGTGTCGATAGGCGTGTCCCCGATGAGCTTGAAGAAGAACAGGTGCTCCAGGCACTTGAGCCCGATGGAGCGCAGTGCAGGCAGGCGGAGCAGCAGCTTGGCAAACCTACGGGACAGGAGTGGGTGAAGATGGGCTGGGAGCTGCTCCCTCGCTCTGGCGACCGGCAGCCTCCCTGGAGACCAGCTGGGTCCAGTGGCCTGGGGCTCCAAATCCAGTCCACAGTGGAAGCTACCTGCACTGATCCTTCAGGAAGAGGAAGGTATGTGAAGAACGGAGAAAGAGGAGGCAGAAGGGCACGGGCGGGGGCAGTGGGTGGGCATGTGGTGGAGCACACCAAGATCCACCGGGCCCTGGACTGCAGGGAAAGACCAACGATACCACTCCAGGCCACGGCAGGCCCGGCTGGGCTTTGGAGCTATGTTAGAAGTATGGGCTTGCTCCGTGGGCAATGGGAGCCATGGCAGAATTTTAAGAAGGTAATGGCACCACTGTGGACCTGTGTTTCCAAGGACGCCTCTGTTACAGCAACCAGACCTGTCCTGGGAAGAGACCTGGTGAAGATCTGCGGGCAGCTTCATGGGTAACACGCAGGGTACTCAGTGAATGACTGAACCAGTGTGGGGAATCCTATGCTCCAACAAGCATGTCAGCCTCCCACGAGTATCCCACCCCCAGCCACTCCTACAGTTCCCCTGCCCCAGGAAGGACTCTGCTGGGCTGGTGGGCACTGAGGAGGCTCCTGGCTTTCTCTGCCCCTGGAGGGTCTCCTGAGCAGGAGACTGGTAGGGTTCAGGGAAGCCTAAGGGTTCAGGGAAGATGGACGTCAGGGTCTGTCAGCCACAGCGGACCCAAGGGAAAACAATGTCGCATGGGGATGGGACCTGGGATCCCTTGTGCAACCTCTGTGTCTGTTCAGGGACTCTCATGTACCCCAGAGGCTGTGGGCCTCATTAACTATTAACATTGTTCATTTTCAGGGGAGGGAACCCAATGGCCGTTTGCCCCAAAGTCCTCGGTTTAAAGGCACAGGCGTAGCTTGGAGGCTGGAGCTGCGCCAGAGAACAGGCTGTTTTCTGCTGAGCTGGCGAGATGGGCTGAGGCAGGAAGCCAGGAAAAACAGGCTGCTGCTGCCTCTCGTCCTCCTCCTCCTCCGGGAAGTTTCACTTTAAACCAAACCAGATGAGGACTGAGCAGCAGTGCAGACAGTTAACCATGTGTGCACCAGGCAGCGGGATGGCTTAGCATGCCATCGCCCCTCACACCTAGTCTGCAGACTCCAGAGGCTGGAGTTGCCCTATAAGAGGAGGGGACTAATGAAGCCACAGACCGAATCCCAGGAATTCGCCGTTCCATTGACAAACACCATGTGTCTAGCACTATGGATGGTGCACCCAGCACTGGATTTGAACAGGACTACAGATGTCGGTCCTTCTGAGGCCTTCAGACAAACTGTGTTCTAACCACAGTCATCTATGGGACACAACTATAAAGCACCTGGGGTTTTCCGGCCTCTTAACAGGCTCACATTGTGGAGGAAAGCGGACGTCTCCATATACACGAACAAAGATAAGCGCCTACTGTGGACCAAGCAAAGCACTTGGCCAATCCTTCTGGTGTAGTGTCCTCAGTGCTCATGGCCCACAGGAGTCCCAGGCTGCTACCCTAGAGGATGCCACTGTCTTGCCACAGACAAGGACTTCAAGGTTGAGTGGCTGAGCCCAGAGGTGAGCACAGGGGTGTCTGAGGATGGAGGCACAGCTCACCTGCCCGGCTGCTCTGGGTACTTGTGTTTGCAGTAGGCCTCCAGAGATGCATACACCTTCTCCCTCAGCGCCTCCACCTCGGCCGGGTTTGAGAGCCCCTTGGAGTCTGTGTGGAGAAGCAGCCTCAGGTCAGAGCCCTCTAAGCAAAGAGCAGAATCTTCCCAAAGGCCCCTGGGGTGGTCTCCTAGCCATACTCAAATGCAGCAAACAGCATACAGAGCACAGAGCTGGACGCAGCTACCCCACAACCCTCAGCTCGGGACAGGTGCTCTGGATTTACGCCCCACGCTGCCAATTAAAAGCCAAGTGACCCTGAGTCGGTACCTTAACTCCAGCGACTCAGTTTCTACCTCTTCTGTCAGGTAACCACGAGAGGCGATCAATGCCGTGGCTCTATTTGAGCGTCACTGGTAGGAAGGAAGTCACGAGCCCTCCCACCAGGGAACCCCAGATCCACGCCACGGGCAGATGCCCCAAAGGCGCCTGCTGAAGCCTAGGCATCTGTCCATAATTTAGGCTTAAGAAAAGTCACAACTTTGGCCACCAATACCATCAGGGTACAGGGCCCAGTGCAAATACTGAGGGGGGCCTAGGTCCGGGGCTCCCTGGAATGTGCCAGGCTCCTTCAACTGACCCAGTTCCAGCCTTTGCTCCCCCACAGCACCAGGCCCAGGTCTCCCTGGTTCTGATACCTGCAGCAGGCCACATGGGCCTGGAGATGACACAAGAGATGACACAGTGTGCTGAGCTAGCGAGGGCTGGGAACCCATGTCTCTACATTCTCTACCTACTCTGGGTGGGGCTGGTACACCCCACCTGCCAAGTCCCCAACACATATCCATTCCCCATGGGGGCCATAAGACTGCCCTGGCCTCAGCAGCTCCCTGGGGCCCAGTTGGAGCCTTCCTCCACCTGGAGGGTCTTTCCCCAAATCCCTTTCCAGCCAGTATCTCATACACCCAGCCCGACTATGCCTTTATCATGGTGTAGAGTGGCCATGGGCAGCATCTCCCGCTGACCCTGAGCTGTAAGCAGGGTCACGGGGAGCCAGGGAGCTCGATGTGACTCTGGGGTGTTGTGGACAGCAAAGTCCACCAAGCTCTGCTGGAGAACACTAACCAAGTGCACTGGAGCCTCTGCATTAACCATATGGACAAGTGGAAGGACAGGGTCACTCTCCACTATAACAGGGCCACTGGGGCCCCATGGGTCAGCCCAGGAGGCAGCATCACCCTGCAGAGCAGTTGAGAAGTTCAGAACGTCCTCAGCCAATGGGAGGTGGGAGGGCCTTACCAGGGTTGAAGAGGACAATGGCACGCAGGCAGCCCAGCTCCGTCTTGTCCATGTGCATGTCGCGCATCTTGGACACCAGCTCTGTTAGCACCCTGCAGGAGGAGAAGGCAGGTGCCAGGGTGCACATCAGACCTGCCCTCGCAAGGAATCGACTCAGGAAGACCCGTGGGACTCCCGTGAAGGCCAGGGTGGCCGGAGCACAGTTGGACACACCAGGGCTGGCCAGGACTGGAAGTGTCATCCACAGTCCTATGGAAGGTGAGACCCTCATGGCTCACCTGGTTTCTCAGTGAGATGGGACCCCTCCCTGGGCCCCTTCAAGTCCCTTAGCCTGCCCAGCCCGTGGAGTCTGTGGCAGAATCCCAGGGCCCACTCGCCTGTGTATTCCACCTGAGCCACGGTCTCCTTGACCCCAGCAGCCTGCACCAACCCCTGCATGTGGCTGTTGAGTTCAGGAAGTGGAACGGGCTGGTAAGGGAAAGTCCCAGGGGAGGAGGGGCTGGAGGTCCATGTACAGCCTGGAACGTCCTCCTCAGGAGCCCTGGCTTGTCCAATGGGGACCCATGGGTCTGCAGGCCTCGGAGGCCATGATGCTTCCTGGGAAATACCCAAGGATGCCAGGTCTGGTGTGGGAGAAAACAATGGCTCAGAGGCCCTAAGGCTACAGGGCCAGCCAGGACCCCACTTGGGGTTGGACAGGGCCAGCCAGGACCCCGGATGCCTACTCTTGGGGTTGGACAGGGCCAGGCAAGACCCTGGATGCCTACTCTTGGGGTTGGACAGAGCCAGCCAGGACCCTGGATGCCTACTCTTGGGGTTGGACAGAGCCAGCCAGGACCCTGGATGCCTACTCTTGGAGATGGACAGGGCCAGCCAGGACCCCAGATGTCTACTCTTGGGGTTGGACAGGGACAGCCAGGACCCTGGATGTCTACTCTTGGGGTTGGACGGGGCCAGCCAGGACCCCAGATGTCTACTGTTGTTGTTGGGACAGATCGATGCCCTGGGGGATGCAGGGCAGAGAGCTACAGACAGGTAGCAAGCATAAAGGCCCACCACCGTGGGCCAGACTTCAGGTTTTACTCACTTTGACAGTGAGGACAAGCTGGGGCCTCTCCAGTCGCTCCTGGGGGACCCCAGAGAATGTAAGCCCAAGACCCCAGCACTGTTTTCTCACAACTAGCTGGACACGCTGGGGCTACATTTACCCAAAACCAGACCTCAGCGGGCTAAGGTCCAACACCTCCCTCTGTGGAGCTGTCCTGCAGTCTGTCAAAGGCCCTAAGAATGCTCACAGTACAGAGCCTGGCAACAGGCAGACCAGCATCTGCCCCACGTGGTCACAAACGCTTCCACACTTGTGTGCCTTGCCTGTGTGCTCTACCTAGCCTGTGCCCGGGGCAGCTCAGTCTGCCCACATGTCCCACAAGGATGCTGGTAGATGGCTCTGTTCACCTCCAATGTCAGAGCTCTTGTGTTCAGGAGCTCACCTGGGGCCCTTCCTGCTTCCTCCCCTGGGTTTGCAACTCCCCACTTACTGTCCTGTGCCCCATGAATCATCCACAGCCTCCATACTCTGGCTGGCTACAGTTGACATCCAGGTCCCCAGAAGACCCAGGTCTGGCATGGGCCCTCAGCTTGTAGACAAAGGCTGGCCGTCCAGACAAAAGGAAAGGCAGTCACTGTCCCTCTCCTTGTGAAGTGTAGGCGGGACAGACATTTCAAAAGAGTAACTGCGTAGAATCAGTGGCCCTTGGTGTGGCTGCACTCCACCCCCTGCCCCTTTGAATGTGTCTCTGAGGAGCAGCAGAGGTACATGAGGAGGCGTACATCTAGGTCCACGGGCTGTGAGGGACAGCAGGTCGGACGCACCAGCCATTCAGTGACAGGTCAGGGCACAGGCCACCCCTGGGGCTGCAACAGCTCAGGGATGAGCTGTGCCAAAAGCTGACACTTAGAAAGCCATATCAACAGCATAATCTGTTTTTGTTAACAAAGTGCAGGTGTCTTTGTAGATAAATATTGAAGATCCAGAAAGAACACTGAATGCAATGCTAACTTCCCCGACCCCGATCCGACAAACAACAGTCTCCTCACACCCGGCTGGCAAGCGTTTCCCAAACAAGTGGTTTCCTAAGCAGAGACTGTGGCCAACGGGGCAGGAAGGGACCAAGGGGCCTGCCCTCCACCTGTCAAAGATGGCCCCCTGCCCTACTCACCTAACAGAGATGGTGCCAACCCCACCCACCTATCACAGATGGTATCTACTCCACCCACCTGTCAGAGGGTGCCCACCTTTCCCACCTATCAAAGATGGCACTGCCCGACCCACATGTTGAAAAGAGTGACCACCTGGCACACCTGTCAAAGATGGCGCCCACACCCGCACTGTGAGCACTGTTCCGGTGTACATGCAGGCCGGTGGCAAGGAGGATCCCATCCTTCACAGCTATGGAGCGATGGGAGAAGGAGGCGATGAGCAGCTCGTTCCAACCTGAGGGAGGAGACACACGGTCACTGCTCTCTCTAGGTTTCCATCCCCACCCTTCCTCTCACCCACAGTCAGACCCCGAAAGGCAGTGCATCCCAGACCCATCTCTTTCCAAACCCAAGTCAGGGTTCCACAGAAAGAGCCTTCCAAGCACCCATGTGAGAAGATCTCTCCCTCCTACACCGGCCCTGTGCTGGCCATAAGAAGTCATGCACCGAACATCCCTCTAGCAACCTCAGGGGCACACAGAAGTTTCTTTCTGCGTGTGGAGGGGGCTTGTGACTTAGAGGAGGTGGGAGAACTCCAAGGACTCCCCCTGGGATGACTGTGGAATGCCACAGGAGTCAAGTAGTGAGGAGGAACATCGCCTTGAAAACACAGCACAACGTCAAGTATCATGAGCTCTGGTGCCAACCAGCTGGAGCTGGTGTGCAAGGACTAAGAATGGGGCCTGGGAAAGGCAGGTGAGGAGAGGACTCTGCATAGCCAGGGACTCCTGTGACTGAGCTGCACAGAAGTTCTTACCACTAGACATCCCAACAACTACCCTGTGACCCAAAGCTCCAGGCCCCATAGTTCCATGCGGTCCTACATGGAAGTACTGGCCCATTTTACAGAAGGGAAACTGAGGTAGGGACCATCACTTGGGGGGTAGGATCTGCTGTGCTGGTTGCCACAGGTTCAACCAACTTGGGCCCTGCAGAGCACTCCCAGAAATGTGACCTAACAGTCCCTCATAAGCATCTGAGGCAAGATCCACCCTCATCTCATACTGACGTACCTGAGCCCCACTCTGATCACCTCACCTGAGGCCCTGACCCAGGGCTGTCCCCTCTAGGTAGGCTGGCATGGCCCAGTGGCAGGGGCCCATTGAAACACCTGCACGAACAACTGGCCCAAGGCCAAGTGGCTCAGATCTGTTCCCATAGACACTGGGGAATGTGGACTGTAGGCATTATGGGATGGAAGCCACCACAGGATGGCAGGATGGGTAGCCCCAGAACCCAGTGTGAGGGCAACCACAGCTGTGATGACCCTCCCACCTGCCTACAGATCCCCATGCCATCCAGGTGGTAGTGGTGGGTAGCCACCGAAAAGGGGGTAAAGAAGTGTTCCGCAGGGAAGTTGGGAAAACATGTATGTCAGAGGGACAGCTGTAGTGTTTACTGCCACTGATCCCGGGCCTGTGGGTGGAGAGGGGGACCACAGGGTGCTGTGGCCAGAGCTTGGCTTGGCTTCCTCTGTCCCAGGGTGCAGAGAGGGCAGGATGAGCCAGATCAGAGTTGCAGTGTGCCAGGCCCCTCCAACCTAGGGGAGGTCCTTATGTAGCCTGGACCCTCCTGAGCCCTGTCAGAACAGCAAACAAGGCTTCAGAACTCAACAGCATGAGATACTAGGATGGGAAGAGGTGGGACCCAGAGCCTGGAAGTCTTAAACAGCCCAAGCTCTACCTCAGTTTACCCATCTGGCAAACAGAAGAATCAAGGTTCTCAATGTTTCTGTGAAATGAGCCAGGATCATTTAGTGGTTTCGTGACTATCTTGGGAAGTCAATTCTGGATTCTGTCAGCTACTACCCCAGCCAGGCTGGGGCCCTCTGCTGTTGTGGGGCTGTGGCTGCAGTACCCTTACTCTGCAGCGAAGAAAACCCAAGGTAGACACTCACTGGGTTAATAGGAGACCTCAGCCTGAAGCCAGGCTGACCAAAGGCTCTAGCAAGAGTGGACATAGATCCCAGGCAGAATCCAGGACTACAGGCTTGAGAACCATATCCCCCACAGGAGGGCACAGAGGTCAACCCCAGCTGGCCAGACCTTGAGCTGGCAAAGTGCATACCACAGTCATCTAGCCAATCTGGAGCTCTGCCCTGCCTTCAGGCCCCTGATCTGCCCAGCAGGTACGAAGGAAAACAATGTGACAAGTTGTCCCCGGTGGTCTCCAGAAGGTGAGGGAGAACCCACCATGCCCTGAGCAGAGGCTTTCTACTTGGCCCCAGGCCTTCCAAACTATCTGGGGATAAGACAGGCCCTGAGGCCAGGACTCTAAGCTGAGAGTCAAGTAAGAAGAAAGTAAGGACCTGGACGGTCATGTCCCTGGTGGACAAAATGCTCCCCAGATTCTGAGAGACCCATCTGTACCCACAAAGTGGGCCACACAACTCAACCCAGTAGGGCACAAGCCCACCAGGGCAGAGGCCAGGGTAACAGGATCTATCCTGTTCATCTTGGTAACTCAAGTTCACCACAGAGATCTTTTGACGAAGGCAGGGAGGGTTGGGGCCTGTATGAGCCTCACCCCAACCAAGCAGCTTCCAGAACATTCCTTGCTGCACAGGGATCTACCTCTGGCTCACTTTCTCCACTGGGCTGGGATGAGGCCAGGAGCCCTTGGTGCAAAACAGGAAACCAAAGCAGTCGGGATGCTCAGGCCCCTGAAGACGGTGTGGTCTTCAGGCCCCGTGCCGGACATGGGACAGTTATCACGCTGTCACCGCAGCGGGTGGACAGCAGCTACAGACACCATTCCCAGCATGTCCCCATCTCCACAGGCAGGAGTCTGAGTTAAGAATCCCAGTCTCAGCCCACCCACTGGTGATTTGGCAGAATCCAACTAACAGCACGTCCCAATGCCCCTCTAACAGACGAGGAAGGAATTCAGGGTAGCCTGCAGAGCTGGTCTATCCCCAGTCCCAAGGCCACACTCCCACCCAACACTGAGCTCCCCTCGTGTGACATATGGTAAGGTATAAACGAGGCATCTTCTGGGTTCTAGCCACCTGCATCCAGACCTGTGCTCAGAAAGCGACCACAGACAGCACACAGGTCTGGTGGGTGGCTCCCAGAAGGTCCTCTGAGGCCTGCTGAGACCCCCTCGCCGGCACTGAGACCCCCTCACCGCCACTGAGACCCCCTCGCCGGCACTTGCTTCTGCTGGAGGGGAAAGGAAAGGAGCCCCAGATGGCAAGCGTAACGCCCACCCTGCCGCTCCCAGCTGCCTGCTCTGACCCCCACAGCTACTCACCTGCCCGTAGCAAGATGACCTGGTCATCCAGGGGTAGCTCGGAGAAGTGCGGGATCCTCTTAGCCCACTCCACAAGCGTGAAAAGCTGTTTGTCCGCCGCCTGGCAGATGTTAGTGACAGGGTCGTTTGGCTATAGTAGAGAAAGGACGTTGAGATCAGGCTTATACCTCCCGTGTCCTGACAGAATGCCCCTCTCCCCTAAGTGCCAATGGGGGTGGGGTTCCAGAGTCCACATTCCAATCCCTGGCACCTGGGGCCTTGGACAGAAAAGGTGGGATTCCCCAGGGATGAGGAATGATCCTGGCTTACTGGTATTGGCCCAATGATATTCCAGGGGCCCTGCCTTTTCCTAGTTGGGGGTCGGGGGGAGAGGGAGCTCTATCAAACTAAGCAGAGATATGGGAGACCAGTGACTTAAGGGTTGCTAGGGGGCCAAGCCAGGAGATGTAGTGACCTCCAGAGGCGGCAAAGATAGGAGTACATTCTCCTCAGGCTCTGAAGAAGCCGGCCCTGTCAAAGCCCTGGCTGACACCCCCAACACAGCACAGGGTCTCTGAGCTCAGTAGCTGAAGATTACAGAATGTGTTCTGCTGAAGCCACTGGGTTTCTGGCAATTTGTCTTAGCAGTGACAGGGACTTTGCACAACCTACACAACCCATCAGATCCTCCCGGCCCTGAAAGACGCTGGGGGAAGGAGGAACAGATTTGGGGCGAGGGGGGTCATACAACAGGCAAGGGAAGGTGCAGTGGCAAGTGGGAGCCAGACCCCATCTCTAAAGGTCACAGCTGTCCATCTGGGTACCTAGTTCTGCCAGGTGAGTAAGTAGGAGCCTGGGCGAACCCGTGTCTAGCCCAGACTCAAGATTCCAAGCAGAGGTAGGGTGACATCAGAAGCCTTCCAGAAAGTTCTGCCCAAAAGGGGGAGCATCCAGTCCTTCTCGGGAATAAGGGGACCCAGGAAGGCCTTACAGTAATTTGAGGAGGCCCTCTCAGAGCCTGGCAGGTAAGTTGGAGTATGGTCCTCTGATCCGGGGGGTGGGGGCAGCCCCCAAGAACAGGATACAAATTCCTGGCTCTGGAATGGCAGAGGCTGGGCATCAGAGAGGAACTGCCTGTCTTTGAAGGGCTTCCGCTGACAGAAAACATCTGCTAGCACTGACGTGCAGTCTAAACACCCAGCGCTGTGTGAAGAGCCTGCAAAGGGCTCAGGGGAAGGCAGTGACAAACGCTTCTGGTCACTGGGCCAGCAGGACTGGCTACAGTGCAAGTCTGGAGCTGCAGGGGCTGGTGATGTCAGCGTGGATCCAGGACAGAGTCGGAAGAGACAGGTGACATTCCTCCCAGCCTGTGAGCACCTACATGACTCTCAGGAAACCTTGGAGGCCAGGAGAACCCAGCACTTGAAGGGCATCAGGGCCTCTGCTTAGTGCCTGGGCTGATCACGGCTTGGCTCTGCCCCAGCCACAGAGGTCTCCACGGGTACCTTTGCCTGACAGGTTGCAGAGGAAGCTCTGAGGTAGGAGACAGCAAGTACAGGGCCCCAGCAAGGTTCAAGTGTGATCATCCATGCCTCACTGCAAGAGGGGACAGCCTTCTCTCTGGCCACCCCACTGAACCTTAAATTGTCACAATGCCACTGTGGATGGGGAAAAAGCCTCTCGAGCCACTCCTGGGCTGACTGCAGTCTCTGCAGCACAGAGCCACAAGGCTGGAGATGACGACTGGGCAGCGCAGGGGGCAGTGGTCACACCGATGTCTGAGGGCCCCGAGCCCAGCAGGCCCTGACTAGAAGTATGTCTGGGAGAGGCGCTGGGAAGACTCTGGCTCTGCCCTGCTCTGTCCTGCTGTACATCTGCACTCCTCTGAGCTGATTCCACAGCAGACATTTAATGAGCTACTGCCTGCCGGGGAGGTGTCGCTGCAGGACCACCCAAGCAGGGCCTAGAGGAGCCAGTGGCCCATCTGTGAGGCTGGGAGCTGCCTACCCCGCCTCCTTGGTTTGCATCTAACGGAGGGACCATGAGGTCCATGCACAGATCAAGGCCAAACACAGGAGGCCGAGAAGATGCTGACCCCCGCGGGGTGTCTCTGAAGACCTGAGCCTTAGAGAGCAGTGGCAGAGGACAGGCCCGAGAATGGCCTTACTTGAAGAAGACCTTAGTCACCCTTCACAGTGCAGCCAACAACCCCACAACTTCAGTTCCACCCAGCTGCTGCCCCACCCACCCCTCCAGGGCTGTGAGGAAGGCTTGGGGGACAGGACCACAATCAGAGCACTGGGGAGACTTGAGTGTATTCTGTGGACACCATAGCCAGGGGCCAGGTCCCTAAGAAAGGGCCCGCTCTGTGCCTTCTCCCCAGCAGGGCAGCTCTGAACCTTAGACAGCTGGCCAGTAAGGCTGAGGTCTTGGAGTGTTAGGTGTCTCACCACAGGGAGGGCAGGGTGACGGAGGGGACAGTAATCATGCCACAGGGCCCAACAAGTACGTAAGAGACATGTCTGAGCTTCCGGGGCAGGGCAAGGCTCGGACCCCACCCCACTGCCTCCTGGGATGGCTCACTACACCATGCCCTGTGCCTGGAGCCCTGGAGGAAAAGAACAGGTACTCTGTGAGCACATCACAGCAGTCAGGCCGAGAAGGGGCACACGGAGGGCTCAGGGAGCAACATGTGCGAAGGCCCTTCGGGCAGAAGGGGACAGTGTCCAGCAAGTGCTTCCAGTGTAGACAGGAGGCCAGTATGAGCCCAATGCAGAGAGGCTGGTATGGCCTTGATGTCTGTGCAGACTAGGTCTCCAGTGGCTGTCCACAGGGTTCTGGTCCCAGCCCTGAACACCTACAGAGACCCAGATGGAATCTAGACACACGCTGACAGCACACACAGCAGGACCCTAAGGCCTTGAGGGTGTGTGTACAAAGCTCTGTTTGTGGCTTTGCATGAGAAAATGCCCCAATTGGGCACATGGGCTCTTCCTGCCCAGACCAATGGTCCCTGAAGTAATGCAAGTGTGTGGGGGGTGGGGGGTACATGCAGGAGAGGCCAGGTAGAGGAGTTCAGGTGAGAGTTCAAGAGCAGACAAAGAGGCCACAAAGTTCTGAAACCAAGGCCCTCCAGGCAGCCCAGGAGGGAGCCGGCAGAGAGGGCTGCGGCCCTTCTGGTCATGTCTAAAAGGCTGTAGCAGCAACAGGAGGCAGATGGTATAGAAGACTGGGGTGGGGAGCTGTCAAGGCCACGCCTACAGGTGGCCAGCATGAGGGTGACCGGCTGGAGGGCCAAGAGCCTGCTTCAACAGTAACCACAGGCAGCCACTGCTCACAAGCCCCTCCTTGTCGGCCCCTCCACCACTCCGTGCCAGTGGACAGGACAGGGAGGCCCAGGGACGTTGCCCTGAGGTCACACAGTGCCACAGAGCCAGCCTCGAAGCCCAGCAGTCCAACAGAGCTGCTTATGTAGGCTCAGCTCCTTAGAGCTTCTCCAGGGGACAGCCCTGCAGCCAGAATTCAAGCCCCACCATGCATATGAGCTAAGGCCTCACATTGACAGCTGGCCCTGACCCTGGGGAGGACCTGGATGGGGCAGGACCAGCACACCAGGTCCAGGAGGGACAGTGCATCCTAGGCACGGGCAGAAGTCCTGCTGCAGAGAACAAGGGGCCACAGAAGCCCCAGGACTCTTCAGCAGCTTGGGTAGGAAGGTAAACGAGTGAGGACCCAGGAGAAACTGGCGCCGGGAAGGTTCCCCATCCCCTACAGAGTACAGACTCACTGAGCTAGGGTTCAGTCCCATGTTCGCCTCCACATAAGTCTCAGTCTTGGGCTCGACGGCCAGCTCGGCTTCTAGAATCTTCTCCACGGGCATGTCCTCATTGGCGCTGCTTGTAGACTCCACCTCATTCTCATTCCGGTCTTTGCCCCGCTGCCGCTCCTCCTGTACAGCTATACATGGGAGCCGGTCACCTGAGCTGGTCGGGCTCCCAGCTCCCAGGACTCCCCGCATAGTCAGGACCAGCTCTGAGCCAGAGCACCCCCAATCCTGGAGTCCCCCTCCTAGCTGAAGGGAGACATACCCAAAGCCCAGCCTCACAACTGCCCAAGTCTGGTCATGGGGTGGCTGTGTGCCCTGAACGCAGAGCCACCTTCCCCGACACACTCAGCAAGTGTTTACACCCAGAGTCCATCTGGGGCCATGGCAGATTGCCTTCTGGGGCCCAGAGCTGATGGGTCACAGGGCTATCGATGTGGAGTGTGAGGGCTTAGATAGTATGAGACTCAGGGGAAACCCAAGAAGGCTTCTTGGAAGAAGTAGGAATCAGGTTAAAGGAAGAAATAAAACAAAGGAACTAATGCAGACAGAGGAAACTACTCCTGACCAGGACCGAGGTGACCACGCAGGGATGAACCGGGGTAAGGGGGAATCACATTCAGAAACACACCTAGGCAAGTGTGTGTGTGCACATACCCATGTGCCTGTGCTCCCCATGCTGGGCTCTGCCAAAGGGAGAGGATTGGCCTTGAGGCCCCTCCAGCCATGCTGAGACCATGTGGCTCTGTCCCCCTCTTCCAGGATACCACGGGCCTCGAGACTGCCTACCCTGTCCACACACCAGACAACTGTAAGCAGCCCAGTCTGTCGGCAGGCCCAGTGAAGGACCTCAGTCAGGAGCAAGGGGCTATGCCCCTTCCTTCCGCCCATCTCTAATGGCTCCTGTGAACACCCTCTGTTCCCACCACTATTCAGATACCAACAGGATTCCAAGCCCTCCCCCTATCTTGCACTCCAGGAGCAGGCTGGGTGGTAGACCTGGACTGCCCCACCCCCGCCCCCCCCTTCTCCAGCATGGCCCAGGAGAGCTCCTTGGTAAGGACAGATATCTCAGGACTTTGGTCAAAGCTTGTCCAGGCCGACTCGCATCTCCATAGTGGCAGCACACAGCTTGGTAGCATCAGGCTCTCAAGGGCAACGCCAGCCATCGGTGGACCAGTCTCTTCCCTCCATAACCAGACCCACCTCCCGCCTCAGGCCTTCTGACCCCAGCTTCCTTAGTGGGTTGCAAAATGCAACACGAGGGACAAGGGAAGGGCAGGAATGAGTGGAGCTCTTAGGCTGTGGTGGCCTCCCTGCCTGGCCAGAGCTGTCATCAGACGCTTTCCAGAGCCCCTCCCCTCACTCTCCAAGGCTCCCACAGTGGCACCAGCCCTGTGGCTCTTTCTGCTCTCCTCTCAACACCCTACGCAACTGATCCAAGGACCAAACCAAGTTCCACCTCCTTAACAGACACACGGCTTTCCCATGCTGGGGTCATGCTCCCTAAGACCCAGTGGCCTGGCTGCAGCAGGGACTTCCCACGCGAGAGGAAACCAAGTACAGGAGGCTGGTCAGATGCCTGTGGAAGGTATCACCTGGGCCGAGGAACCGGGCAGAGGCTGGCATTTTGCAAGCCTGGCTCTTGTGGAAAATCTTGACAGCAGGTAGGGGCTGGTATGGCGCCCAGGGCTATGGGCAGATGGTAGCCAGCCCCAGGGGCTACAGAAGGCTGCCAGGTTCCAACCCTCCCTGGCTGGGCTTCCACAGACCCTCCATGTGGCTGGTATACATCTGGGTTTGAGTTACTTTGCAAGTCACAGAGGACACTGGCATGGGGCCTGGAGAAATAAGCCCACCAGTGCTAAGCAGTCCCACCAGCAAGAGGTACCTGAATAGGCCAGTCACAGCTAGAACCAGGCGGGCCATGTCCCTGAGAAGGCCAGTTAGCACAACTCCACAGCCTCATGCTAGGACAATGTCAACTCAACAACCTCACCTTCCCAGGTGGGAAAACAGGCTCAGAAAACTAATAAGGGTCACAGCAAGCTCCCAGCTCTGAAATGAGACAGCCCCAAATCCTCATAGCCTGCTCTACCTCCAACAGCTGTGTGGCCTCCAGCAACTCCCTTAACCTCTCTGTGCTTCCACTTCCTTATCTGTAAAATGCCGATAAAGAGCCTACCTTCAGAGAACCCTGGAGGAAGCACAGGGGCAGGCCTGCAGCCCCACCTTGCCAGTCCTGTCTCACTGCCCAGTGAGGGACGTCCTTGTGTTCAGAGTCCATGTTGGGGCCTGGGAAGCCCAGAGAAAGGGGGGCCCAGAATGCAGGTTCTCACAGCAGCAGACTAGCCCTGTGGGCGCCTGACACTGGGTGGGTGAGGGGTTGCTTGCACCTGCCTCTCGTGTGTGTGTGTGTGTGTGTGTGTGTGTGTGTGTGTGTGTGCGGCGCGCGTGCGCGTCTGGTGGGGGGCAGCTGAGAATTAATTAGCAAATGTTTTCTGAAGCACTTTGAAGCCTCGAAGGGCCCCAGCAGCTCAGGGCAGCATCGTTATAAATATTATCGTTTTATTTATAGACAGCGGAGGGGGCGGGGGGGCAGGGGATTTATGCTTTGCCAGCTCAATCACCTTTTAGATGCACTCATGTTTGACTTATGCTCCACTGGCGCCGGGAAGCCTCGGGCGGGAGGCGTCTGTAAATAGAGGGCCGCCTCGTTATCCTTCCAAGCCCGTGCAGGCCCTGCGGGGGAGGCAGCTCTCTCTGAGGCCAAGGGAAGCTGAGGCTCCCTCTGCCTGCCTGTGGTCCGGTCCTTGGAAGATCCAGATGCAAGCCCAACTGGGCTGCCCTCCCCCAGCACACTGGATCCCCAGGTCAAGACACATGACCAAAGTTGGGTATTTGGGGCCTGCTCAGCTGCTGGACCCAAGCAGGACTGAGGGTCCTCAGGGAGGGAGTGTTGAGATACAAGGGCACCCCAAGTCCTGATGCCTCACATTTGGGGCTCTGCTTCTTGGTGGCCCAAGGCTGGGCCACTGCGATAGGTAGGACAGGATTCTAAACATGTTCTGGCCCAACTGCCCCTTCTTAAGGCCAAGGCAGTGGAGCCCCAGAGAGGGTGGCTTCCTCCCAGGGAACACACAGTACATCAAGGTCCTTCTAGCTCAGCGAACAGCCTTCAAGGACAAGGCACAAGAAAAGTACACACACACACACACGCACACGCACAAAAACACACTGTGACCGCCAGGCTCCAACCTCACCACCAGTCAGGCCTACTCTACCCCTGCTCCGCTCCACCAAGAAGCCCTGGGGAACCTTGCTAAGTCCCCATGGCCCAGAGAGGCAGTCATAAAGCCAGAGAAAGAACCAAGCCGGGCCATTTCCCTGCAGCGGAAGTGGGCTCACCCTTGTCTGTGCACACATGTGCACAGATATTCACACACTACAGCAGAGATTGCCAGTTCCGCACCCAATGCTCCAGAGCCAGAGACAGGGCACAGGAAGCAAAGGAAGTCAGGAAGGAAATGCAGAGGCCTTGGGGGAAGGAGCCGGCTGAGGACAGGGAGTACAGAGCACGGAGGGACCGTGCATGCAGGGGCCCTCCGAGCATGCAGACCAGCACACCTGCAGGCCCCCAGCCCCACCACCACCTGCCTCAGCCAACAGGCCCAGACTCAGCCTGGGCCTAGGCACTGCCCACCCCTGGCTGGAGAATGCTGTGGAACGAGTCCCCACAGCTGCCTGCACGCAGCGCCTGCTATTATTACCCAATACAGATGCTATCAGCCTGCAGCATCCTTCATCAGCCTGGAGCCAGGGTGCCTCTCCCAAGGCAGGGCCGCCCCACAAGGAGACATAGCCCTCCTGTGGCCACCCCCGTCCCCACTCCCTGCCAGCTTCTCCCTTACAGCACCTCTACACAGGTCTCAGTTTCCTAGGCTGTGTATGATCAAGCCCAGCAGAGAGAAAGCATGAGGACCAGGTACCAGGCCTGTGGCCTGCTCCCCACAGGGGCTGGGCACTGCAGCAGCTGAGGCAGCACTGGAGTTGACAGCGCACGTCCTGCATGCTCTGGGCCAAGAGCCCCGGTTGGCAACCTGGCTCAAAGCTTCTCCAAGGATTGCCAGGCTGTAGCCAACAACCCCACCCACCACCCTCAGAGTATTCCTCCTGATGATTTGCCCAGGAGAGCGGAGAGCAGGAGAACTCTGCTTTAGGGACTGGTCTAGACCCCAGGGTGGGGACTGGCCTCTTGAGTCCCTCCCACATCCATCCTGGGGGGGGGGGCTCCTGTAGGGTGGGCCCCTAAGCTGCTGTAGGGCCAAGAGTGAGGCTGTGGACCAGGGGTCACAAGGCCCTGGGAATTGCGACAAGTCTCAGATGAGCAGGCATGAGTGCCTTTCCCTACAGGACCAGGGGTTGGGTGGCAGGGCCCACTAGGCCAGATTCCTCCAGTTCTCTTCCGGATATTACAGAGATGTTCTGACCAGCTGGTAGGGCCAAGTTCTGTGGCCACCATGTCTAGGAAAAGAAGATCAGTCCTGCCCTTTCATAACTTATAAATCCAGCTGGGACAAAGAGGGGGTGTTCCTCCACAAAAATGGGTAGAGCAGGTCTCTGTGCCCAAAATACTGTCACAGGATGACTGAAGACGACAGACCAGACCCCAGGACTCTGGACGGGCAAATGGACAGCCCAGCCCTGAGGTCTCCCAGGTCCCTCTCTCTGCAGTCTATTTCCTCTTCTGTGAAGTCTGAGAAGGATTAGGCAGCAGCGAGGGGTATAGAAACTAGACTGTGTAGGAACTAGACAGAGGGTGCCCAGTGTGCCCCCACCCCCCATGGCAAGTACATAGTAAGGCCTAGAGTAGTGACTACAGCCTCCCACCTCCCACCTTCCACCCCTGCCTTGAGTCTGCACTATTCCACTGGTGTGGCGTTGGGGTCGTCCTCCACACCCCTCATGCCTCAGGGGGCCCAGACAGCTAGAGTCTGAACACCAAGCACTCAAGGCCATGTAGAGGCATTGGAGGAAGGGGCCATGTGGGCTAGATGGTTCCTCTTTGGGGTCAGAACTGTGGTCTCTGCCACATGCCAGGTCTGCTGGTAGCCCCGGCTATCACAAACATTTCTCCTCCACCTGGCACTTGACCTGTCCGTTCTTCAGTGTTAGCCTGGATAACCCCACACACACACACGCACACACAACTGCCCAGAGCCATGTCCACCACCCAAGTCTAGGTCAGGTACCAGACCCAAGCTTTCTCTGACCACAGCTGGGGACACACCTGCTTATCTGGGGGTCTCTTTCAGGGGAAAAGTTCTTTCTTAGAGCTGGAGCCTCAAGCAGTGATCACTGAGGAGTGGATTCAGGGCTCAGATCAGCTCCTAGGCCTGCACAGCCCCACCTCCGCCTTCCAGCCAGGCACATGCCTACCTACTGCCCATTCCAGGGCAGATGTACTGGAGCACCTGTCCTTTGGGAGTCACACTGCACTGGTTGTTTCCTGAGGGCATGTGGTACCCCAAGAACAAGACAGTGTACCCCTCCCCTGGCAGGGTATCCACTCCCTCTACCTTCTAACTGCAGAAAAAAATGGGAACCAGAGGCCAGAGTCTGGCTTGGCTAGACAACTGTGTCAAGACTTGGACCCTGTGGGCCACGGTGACCCCCCTGCACAGCCAAGGTCAGACCTGAAGGAACTCCACACTCTCTACGAAACAAGTGCCGGGTCAGAACAGCAGGCCGGCAGCATTCACACACATACGTCAGCCCCACAGCTGTAGCTCAGGATCCAAGACCCCATTGTGAGCGGAGACCGGGATGCCTGAGCCCCCTGCACACCACACTGACCTCACAGCATGGAAGACACCCGCAGCATAGGGTCCAGCAAGGTCTCTGCTTCCTGTGTACAGAGGCCCAGAAGAAAGGAGTAACGGAGTGAATGGCAAACCCAGGCACTAGCCCCACTCTACTCCAGTTGGTCCTCGATGCAGGGAAGGAGCAGACAGCTCAGGGGCTGGTGGGAAGGTGGGAAGGACACAGCATCCTTCAGCCCTGCGTGTGGGCCAAGCAGAGGAAGCTGGAGGGACCCTGCAGTGCTGAGGACAGCGTGCTAGACCCTGCCTGAGACAGTATTACAGTGCCCAGAGCTGATGGAAGTACCTCGCCCAGGCACCCATCTAGACACACACCCCTAAAAGGGACCCACTGTCACCTAGACACCCACCCCAGGACACACACACGTGCGCATGCACACACGCATGCATGCATGCGCACACACACACATGCGCACCAGGGAACCACTCTTCCACGTGCAGGTCTAGGAAAGGAGAGCATAGCTGTCAAGGGTCTGGCTGCACAACTTGACAACTTCCAGAACTTCAGAGTAATCACCTGGTCTGCTATGCAGCCTCCCCCACCCATCCCATATACATACATTGTGATAAAACAGGCCCCAAGTCCTACTACTCAGAGGACCTGTGGGTGCACAGGTGACCCTTCCAGGGCTATTACTAGAGATGGCCTTTGGAAAAAAGGTGTCCAAGATAACCCCCACATTCAACAGGTTCCGGGAACACCCTTGTGATCTCTGGAGGCCTCCTAGCACCACTCCAATCAAAATGTGCTTCTTACCGTGGGCCTCTCAGCCACACCCTCATCAAGCACCTGGAAAGACAGGCAGCCAGACTGACCACGCATGACCCCGACTCCTGCCCACCTCCTGCCTTCCTCCCACGTCCACCTCCAGGAACCTCTCCTGCCAGCTGTGCTTCCAGACCAGCGCCCAGTCTGACCGCCTCTGTCCACTGTGCACCAGCCTGGCCCGGCCACGCCCTCACAGAGCAGGCTGTCTGCTCTGCTCCTGTCCCTGGGGACGAGCTGCTGGTGAGCTGGACCTGGCCTGTCATGTCTCTTCTGCAATCCCAACCTGGCCACACAGCTGGCACTCAGTGAATAACCAGTTGGGGAGGGGCTGGCACAGAGCCAGGAGCCAGGCCCCATGCAGGCAAGAAGGAGCCACCAGAGGCCTCCAGGGGCTGACAAGAGGAGATCGCCGGCCAGGGAGCGGGTGCCCAAGGCCTACCTTCCCGTTTCATGCCCATGGCCAGGCACTTCTGGTAACGGCAGTACTGGCACCGGTTCCGCTGCCGCTTGTCGATCAGGCAGTCCTTGTTGTCCCGGCAGGTGTAGGTCAGGTCCTTGCGCACCGTCCTCTTGAAGAAGCCTTTGCAGCCCTCACAGCTGTATACCCCGTAGTGTTTGCCTGTGGGGTGAGGAGTGAGTGAGCTGCCGCGCGGGCAAGACCGTTCCCCGAGTGCTGAGCTGCAGGCCAGGGCTCAGCTGCTGGATTTTAGGGCAGGCTGGCCCCTGCTCATCAGAAAACAGGTCCACCTTGTGCTTTCTACCTGCCGAGATTGTGGGTCACTGCTGATGGGGACCAGCATCCCCAGCAGCGGCCCGCTGTCTGAGTATGGAAGAGGATGGAGGTCAACTCCTGGCTTTCCAGCAGTTGGGGTTCAGTAGCATAATGCAAGGGGGCCTTTCGCCAGACTTGGCCTGGAGAATGCCAGGCCACGTTGTCCTTCAGCCATTCACACCTGCCTCCTCTCTTGGTATGCCTTCAGACCACCTGCCCACCCTGGTCTCTACCACACCCAAAGACGAGGCAAGGGTAGTGTTCTAAGCCCACCCCTCGCTCTACAGCGCACGGGGGCGGCAAGCCTAGGTTCCTGCCTCCCCACACTCAGCACACAGCGGGGAGAGTGAGGGAGACCCTCCCTGCAAGTCCCATCACCGTGCACCATCCCCAGCCCGAGTACCACGCCCCTGACCCCAACAAGGTCCTACCTGAAGAGCGGTCACCACAGATAGCACAGATGTGCTTGGTGAAGGATGCCATGTTTCCTGAGGGGTGGGCAGGAACCTTGAGGACTCCATTGAGGCCCAGGGGAGGCTTAATATCCTCGCTGCTGCTGACAGGATTCATGGGTGAGTTGAGCTGCAAAAGTTTGAGTGGAGAGGGTCAGTCCAGCTAGGCTGGTGACAGGCACTGATATGGGCCCGGGCCCCCAGCATCCTTCAGATGCCCCTGCAAGGATGAACTCTACACTACACAGCCTCCCTCGGGCCACATGACTAAGGTCAACAGGACCACTGTTCAGAACAGGGCTCAGTCCTGCTGAGCACCTGCTCTATGCCTGACCCTCGGGATACCTCCTCCCAGCAGACCCCAGGTCACTGCAAGGTGCCAAACCTTCACGAAGCCTGGGACTCCGAGGCCCCCAGCCCCATGCAGGAGGCCTGCTCACACCCGGGCCCACCACCCACCCAAGAGTTGCCACCTGTCACATAACACCTGCCATGGGCTCCGGACACAGGTTGAGAGCAGGCAGACTGGGCCTCCAGCCCCCAGCCCCAAGATGAGGCCAGGCAGCCAGGGCTCAGGGAGGGGGTTGGGCTGGGCACCTCCAGTCTCACACATGCCCCCATCACACTGCAGGAAAGTGGCCTCCAAAAGATAACAGGAGGGGGATGCAGGTGGACACAAGCGGACGCCCCAGGCATGGAGCTGCATGGTCACCGTGGCCTCCGCACACCCCGTCTGGCCCCGCCCGCTGGCTGCCAGGGCAAGCGTGGGAAACTCACCCGGTCGCCCAGGCAACAGCTGCAGCGTCGCAATGACACAGCACTTTTGGTTCCGCAGCCTCCAGCCCAGCTCTGCAGTAAGCAGGGAGCCCAGGGGCGCTTCCCGCCGCCTGCCTGCCTGTCTGCCAGGGCGCGGGGCCCGGCTGGGAAGCCCCTCTGCTTCTGCAAACCCCTGACGGCAGCAGAAGGCCAGCTGTGCAGCTGACTGCCCTGGCATAGCCCTTACGGCCCCTGCCAGGGGACAACGGAACCTCACCTCCTTCCTCACAGCCTGCAGCCCATCCCCCACTTTCTCACGGGACAAGAAAAGCTCAGAGGCACCAGAAGCTTCCTATCATGGGGCCTGGCACCCAAAGTGACTCTGCAAGGGCCTGTGCCTCATTCCCCTGCCTCAGGTGCACTGCTGGAAGGCCTGTGGGCCCACACAGAACCTTGTGTGCGGGCGGGGCAGGTGTCAGGACATAGGGTGTCGGAGCATCGGGGTCTCACTGCAGAGGAGGGCATTCCCTGTGGTACTGGCTGAGGCCCAGTGTAAGAGTCCTGAGGTGGCAGGAGACGCAGCTGGCCTTCGCTGGCAGGGCTACATAGGACCCTGCACACAGGACCCTACATACACGTTCCGCCCGGCTTGCTGCATGCAAAGCCTGGCTTTTGAGGCTCTGTCCTGCCCAGACAAGGACTCTGTGGCTCATGGAGGTTTCAACTCTGGGCAGCCTAAGCACCCGGGGCCTGCCGAAGCTCTGATGTCAGAGGATGAAGGCTGGACTGCAGCACCCATCCTCCCTGCAAGCCCAGGGCCACCCCTGCAGCTCCTCAGGGCTCCTCCAGGGGCCAATTCCGGCATGGCGGCCACAGCACACAGAACAGGCCAGGAGGGTGCTTTTCCACCCTTCCCAACTCTGAGCTAACGGGCAGGGCAGTCTCCATCCTCCCCCCTCATCCCCCAAGGCCCAAAGCCCTCACTGTCTGGGACTTCTGTGCTCCCAACCCAGCTCCCAAGAGACCCAGGATTGGACAGCCCTCTGATGAGGCCCAAAGCCTCCCTGGGTGAGGCCCGTCCCATTTCCCCTTTCATATCCTTGGCATTGATTTCAGTTCCACCTTATCAGTGCCCCACCCAGGTCCCTGCCTGCTTCTCAGGCTCATCTCTTCCACACCTTACATACCCTGCCCTCCCAGGGCCAGCCCTCAACTAGCCCCATGTTGAGAAGTCCACCACTCATGACATATTCAGAGCCGATCCTGAGCTTCCACCCACCCCCAGGCCCTGCACGTTCTCCCCAACTTTGTTCCCCATCTGGCTGTCTGTAGGCATCGTCAAGGATCCCTGGGCCCTTGTACATGCTGCTCACAAAGTCACTGCAGCCCCGCAGGGTGAGATTCTCCCTCACACCAGGAGGATCTGGGGATCAGAGGCCTCCATGCCCTGCCAGCTTCCCATCTGGGCACTCAGAGGTGCTTTCAAATTGTGAGGCACCCAGAAAGTCAATCGTGGCCACACAGGCTTGGGCAGTAGCCTGTCTGGTGAACACCCACTGGGCCCTGTCCTAAGCAGATCACCCAGACCACGTGGGACACACGGGATAGCTTGGTGGTTGTGGACTGATACAGCCAAATCCAAAGCAGGGAGCTTCATGGGATTAAGAGCCAATGGATGTAAACCAGAGAAGGCAGAGGGGACCAGGTCCTCGTCCGCACGTGGCATCAGCAGCCAGCAAGAGTGGGTGTGGAGCAGCTGTGATAGCATGGGCCAGGCCACAGGAGGTGCTAGATGGTCAGGCCTGCTTCACGCCAGCAACTCAAGCCTTCTGTCCACTTCTGGAAGCAAGGTGAAGTGGGGAGAGACAGGAGCAGAGTCTCAGCCAGGTTGTCTCGGGGAGAGGCTTAAGAGGCCGGGCCAGCCTCAAAAGGCTACCTAGTTGGGCGGTAAGCAGCCTCTAGGCCCCAGCATACCCTAGTTCTCCCACACCAGAAGCAAGCAGGGTGCCCAGAAGGTGGAATGGTTCAACCCTATGATTCTGGGGAGGGGGCCCAGGTGTGCTGTTGTGAGATGGCACAACAGGGCTATCAGGGGACAAAGGGTAGAATCCCAGCTGAAAAGCGGAGTGTGCAGGGAGGGCCCTGGCCTATTTCAGGAAGGCTAGAAGGGGCCCCAGAGAGCAGGTTCTTCAGGTGGAGGGCTCTGGGCATGCCAAGGACACCTAGCTCTACAGGGTATCTGGCAGAGGATAGGGGACCCACCAGGCCCCCAGAAGAGGTGGTTCAAGCCCTGCAGATAGCCAACAGCCACAGAGCCAGAATCCCTAAGTACGGGCAGCCACCAGGGGCCTTTGTGGGGCCCAAGGACCAGCATCCCTGCACTAGGCTGGAATGTATCTCCCCTGCAGGCCCAGGAAGCCCACTGGCTGCGGTGGGGGTGTGAGGGGACCCATGTGGCCTCAGGGTTCCTAGGGAGACCGGCCCAAGCCTGAGAAGTCAGAGGCCCCCGAGTTCCACAGCCACTGGGGCAGGGTCCAAGCTGGGTTGAAGACCAGTTGTAAGGACCCTCAGCTGACAGTGCCTATGGGGCCCGGCCCAGGTCAACCAGAGCTGGGCTGAGGCCAGTTCACTCTGCAACTCCCTTTTGTGAAGGAAAAAGAGAAATCACAACTCCATCCCATGGGTTCACGGCCTACAAGTGAAGCCTTCACCTGCTGTCCCAGCCCCCAAAGCTCAGCCCCACACTCACCTGGGGGCTGCCGGTTCCGAAGCCCAGGGTGGGTGTGGTGGGTACCGACATGGAGTGGGGGCCCATGGGGGAGCTGATGACAGAGAAGGGTGGGCCCATGCCATTGATGGGGGAGCTCAGGGTGCTGATGGGCGAGTGTAGCTGTCCAGGGGAGCCCAGTGGAGAGCCAATGCCTGGTCCCAGGGAGGGGTGCAGCGATGGGGCAGCCATGGAGCCTCGACCCGTTGGGGAGTTGAGGGATGAGGAGTTCACCTGTGTAGAGAAGTCTGCAAGACAAAAATTGGCAGGAAAGAGGGTCAGAGCGGCCTGCAGACCCAGCAACCACCTGCTCCAATTCCCTCGGGCCACAGGCAAACCCCTGTGCTCTGAGGCACAAATTCAAACCACTCAAGGCCAAGGCAAGGTGCTAGCTAGTCCAACACTGAATGGTTCCAGCAGGAGCACTTATTATCCCTCTTACAAGGCCTGAAGTGCTCACAGTTGCCTGTGCAGAGCCCAGGCCAGCCCTGTAGGCTGAGGCTTTAAAGTCTATGGCTATGCCCACCAGGCTACACGGCCTGAACCTCTGGGTACCACAGCAAAAGCAGCCCAGACTCCAGACCCTCAAGCCTTTCTGACTCTACGCTCTGGGACCTATTTAGCTCTTGTGGGGCCCAGAGGAAGGAAGGCACCAGGCACTTCCCATGTGGGTGGGGAGCTTCCAGGTGGCCTCGTGGAGGGCCTGGGCGTGTGCCAGGTGTGAGACCCACAGCTTGCAGAGCAGGGTTGGGGCCCAGACCTCCCACATGCCAACCTTTTATGCAGGGTTTCAAAGACCTGAACAAAGGCTTAATTAGGCCTTCTCCACTCCAGAGGCTGGGAGGTTCCCAGGTGTCCAATCCACTGCCCACAAGCTTGGCAGGTCATGGAGAAGTTAGAAAAGAGCCTGTGCGAGGCAGCAGAACCCAGGGAACAAGCCACGCCACGGGATGCCAGCTGCACCAACAAGACCAGTGTTCTGAGCAAGTCTGTCCGTCACCCCCACCCGGCCTCGCCCTCTCCCTGGGCTCCAGCCTTCCCAAATCTGCCGAACGGTCTTGGCTCTTCCTGCCCGCTTCACCAACATGGCATTTACTTCTGACATGTTGAGCAGATCTGCAGGCATGTGGAGTGACTTTGACAGGACACCAGTCCCAAGTGGGGACACGGGCTGGAGACACTACCTAGCACCGCACAGGCACCTGTGGTACCATTCTGAGCCTCACTCGACCTGGCCCTGTCCTGGCATGGGTACTGAGCAGAAACTGGAGGACACAACCACAATCCTAGGACACCACTGCCGCTGTGGATTCAACACTCGGACCAGCTGTGATTCTGGCCAAAGCCCATGCTCTCACCCCAAACCTGTTCACAGAGGTGCTGGCTGGCCAGCACAATGCAGGGTGATCCCAGCGGCTGCACCTGTGAAAAGCCCCAGGACCAGCCCTTCAGGGAGAAGCCTAACCCATCTTCCTGCTTCCCCTCGACAGGATGTAGGAAGGAGGCCCAGGCTCCAGTTCAGCCAGTCAGGCCCCACTATGACCAGGCCCACCATGGGGAAGCCAACCTGGCTGCCAACTGTGGAGGGGCCAACTCCACCAGCAAACGAGTCTCATGTGACCAGCTAGAAACCTTTGCCATTCCACAAAACTAGAAATGAACAAGTTTACTGAACTTAAAAAAAAAAAAGCCAATTTAAGAATTCCAGAACCAGCCAGGTGTGGCACATGCCTTTAATCCTAGCACTCAGGAGGCAGAGGTGGGCAGATCTCTGTGCTTGAGACCAGCCAGGGGTACATATGAGACCCTGCCCCCCTCTAAAAAAAGATTAATTCCAGAACCAGATTGTGGCGGCACCTACTGGCCAATAAGGGTACTGCAGATTAGCTCTATTGTTCATTAAACAAACCATGGAGGTTAGCCCCACGTAGAGGAAAGATCCCCAGGGCAGTGGGGGGCAGTGCACAGCCAGAGGCTAACAAGACAAGACAGGCATGGGTATGTGTCTAAGAGGAACAAATGCGAAATCCAGCTGTTCACAAATAGCCTAGAATGCCTTATTTCCTTGACATCAGTTGAATTCTTGTGACCCTGTTGGAAAAAGCCACCACCACCACCTATCACAGAAGAGGAAACTGAGAGACTGAAAAGGTGCACAGACATTTGCCCAAAGGCAAACTTCCCACAAACATTACCTCTGGGATACCTGGAGGGCCAGTGAACTGGCCCCATCACAGCCCTGCCTTCCCTGTCCCTGGATGAGGAAACCTAGGCCCAGGTCTCCCCTTCCCATGCCAGTCCAATCATGTGTTGTGTAGAGTGAGCAACATTCTAAGACTCCACAGTTAAGCCCTCCAAAACCAGGCTGAGCTTAGCCCCCCACACACACACCTTTTAGCCCAATTGAGAGACGCGAAAGAAACAAGAGTTCAAGACCAGCCCTGACGTCTACGTTCTCCTCCAGGAGGAGAAAGGAAGGGTGACCCTGTGGGTACCCAGGAGGGGGCTGGCCACTCCTGAAATATGCCCACCGTTCTTCCTGGCTGTTGATAACGAGATGGGGGTCACAGCCAGGAGAGAAGACCCCCAGATTCTCCCAGGTGCTTTGCATCTCCTGCATGGGAGGTCTTGGGCAGCAGACTTGGAACTGAAGTGCTAGGGGTACTTGCCACAACCCCTTAGCCAGCTGTCCCCACTAGAGGAGTGTTTCTGCCCAAGGGAGCTCTGAGGCGAAAATTCCAAGTTCAACCCCTACAGTCACCTGGGGGTAGGAGGCTCAGGTGGCAACTGGGCCGATGGACCGGCTGTCGACCTGCTTACTCTCTCCCACAGGAAGAGGGAGCGACAGGAGAGAGCTTCAGACAGGAGAGAAGGAAGGAAGGAAAAGAGGGAGAGGGCCAGGCTGTTAAGGCTGCCAGCTACCAGATGTACCCCATAGCTCTCCTGGCCCCTAAAGCTGCTCGAAGCAGGCCGTGAGTCCCTAGAACGCCCATGTGGAGAGGGCTGCCACCCAAGCAATGCCTTGGCACGCCCCCACCGCCCCCAGGCCCCCACCCCAGGCCTTCCTGTTTACACAGAATGTCCACTGCAGACACCTTCCCAGAGCCTGGGCGACAATGGGCTGGGTGTGTTTTCTGGATTCTTCTGTAGGGAGACACTTTCTGGCCAAGAAGGGAACGGGCAAGAAATGCCTTTACATCCTCTGTAGGGAAAGCCTCCCAACATGCCCTCATACATGTGTATGTAGGGCATGTAGTGCATGCGTGATGTGTGTGTGTGTGTGTGTGTGTGTGTGTGTGTGTGTACACTGTGTGTGTATGTGTGTGTGCTGTACCTTGTCTGGCCCACTCAGCTGTCCCCACCCCTCATACGTCACAGCCCCCCATAAGTCATCACTATTCTGACAAAGCCACACTTTGGACTTCCAGGGTTGTTGGCACCAGCTGGTCTCCACTGCTTAGGAACCCTCCACACGCCTCTGGCATCTCATCAGGGATGGCAGGATGCGACCTAGGGCTGCAATGTGCCAACTTCAGACCTGGGGACTATAGGACACACAGCCTCCCTTGTCCGAGGAGTGGCACAGAAACCTCAGAGGAATATGGCTGAGAGATTAAGTTGAATCACAAAACCCTGAAACCTCAGACCTACGAGGCCCAGGGACCCACAATCCCAAGATGCCTCTGCAGGACCAGCACTAACTGAGGTAGCCTGGGACCTCTGCAGAAGGGGAGTGCAGCCAGGGGGCTTAGTGGCACCTCCGATCCCAGCGGGGGAGATGCCCAGCAGTCCCCACACACCACAGGCAGCTGGCACTATAGTCTGGGAAGGCAGTGTGGACAAGGAGCAGAGACATCCCTTGGTGCAAAACGGACCACAATGTGAATGCCTAGAGTCTAAATAGCAAACCAGCTTGGGGCAGAAATAGACTATCCTCAGACCCCAGAGGGTCTGGGTGACATTAATCAATGTCCAGCAACAGCCCCGGTGGCTCCAAGGTGCCAGGCACTCCCCGAAGTCACATGCAAGTGAGAAGCTATCCACCACTCAGGAAGGGCCACCACCCCACAAGAGTTCCTGTGCTACACGGGTCTCTCCTGAACACCAGCCACCAGCAGCAGGACCCCACAGCAGGAAGCCCAGGGAACCCCACCAACTCCCTTCCGGACTCCACTTGGCAGGCAGGGTGTAGGAAATGCCAGCCCACTGCAGCTGGGGTGGGGTGAGTCCCACAGCCCCTCCTAGGCAGCCAGCGAGGGGAGAGCGGAACTCATGACCCTCCAGAGCCCTTTGGGACTTACAGGACCAACCACAGCAGGCTGTGAGCAGGCCACGTGTCTGGGTAAACAGAAGTGGACGGGGTGGCTGTCCCATCCGGAGTCCGGCAGGAAGCCTGCAGAGGACAGCAATGACCAGGAGGAAGGATGGGTCCAGAGAACACATGTGCAGAGGGTGAGGGCTCCAAGGAGGAGCCTGAGGGGTTACTCAGCACACAGCCAAGGCACCCACATGAGTACCATGCTCTAAGCACAGTGCCCCCCACCCCCACAAGGGGACGCCCCCCCCGGAACTGAAACTTCACAGCGGGTAGCTCCTGGGTCCTCAGAACTTCCTGTGCTGCCCACCTCCAGCCCCCAGCTTCCGGAAGTACTGCTTCCCCTGCAGCCCTGGGAGGGAGAAGCGGCAGCCCTGGTGGGGAGCGACGGGGACGTGGCAGAGACCACACGGCGACGGGGAAGCCAAGGGTGGTCAGAGCAGGAGAGGGGAGGAAGGCAGGCCACAGGCCCCACTGGTTGGAGGGGGCAGCTTCAGGAACGGGTAGGGCAGGCAGGAAGGCCACCGCCTGGCAGGTGCTAGCCATGGTGAACAAAGGCTGCTGCCTACCTCTGGGGCCACAGGGACACCCTTAACCTTGCTGAACCTCAGTTCCCTTCTCTGTAAAATGAGCGCCCAACAGCTGAGGATGCTGTGCCAGCCCAGAGAACAAGCCCTCAAGTCCTTGGCAGGGTGGACCATCAGCCCTGTTTGCCCAGCCTGATTCCCACCCATTAGGGGCTCCGTGGTGGTAACCTTGGCTGTGAGCCGGGCTCATCCACCATCTCCTGGGTGAGTGTTAGCTTATGCCTCCAGGGGCCTGTGGTAGAATCACTCTGCCCTTTCTTCAAGGGTCCCAGTCCCATATCTCAAGCCTCCTTTGATGAAGCCCCAGGCCAGCTAGACCCTTCTAATGGTCAGGAGAAACCCGGGC